AGCTATTTTTTCATCTATGATACATTTTGTATATGGTATAAAATATTCCATCTTAGTAAAACAATCTATTACTACAAAGACAAAATCATACAAACCTAAGATTGGAAGATCCATAATAAAATCCATAGAAATAAAAGGCCTCAGTTGTTTTGAAATAGGTAAAAGTTATAGAAGTCCATAAGGTCGATAGTGAAGAGTTTTGGATCTTGAACAAATATCACATGATTGTAAAAGGTTTTTGACTATCTTCCACATTTGAGGACACCAAAAATCTCTTGATATTAGCTCTAAAGTCTTGTTGTATCCAAATTTTTGTTGCTCAAAGGTGAAAATATTTTAGCTTCAAGAGAATCATTTTTTTTTTTTTTTTTTTTTTTTTTTTTTTGTACAAGATAAGAATGTCTAAAAAGAGTGTTCAACAAATCTTGTTATTTTTTGGATTGATAAGTGACCTTGAAATCAAATTTTGATAAGGACATACTTCAATTAATTTGGCAATAATTTAAAATATGTGCTAATATGAAATACTCAAGATTCTTAAAAATTGTATACACGATGACTAGATTTGAGGCGCTTTCTAAATGATGATACCATTCTTGAAATGAATCCATGATTATAAGGAGCTCTTTGTCATGGATCTCATAATTAATTTTGGCTGCTAAAAATTTTTTGGAATAAAAAGCTACTAAATAGAGTTTGTAATCTGCTCCCATTTGTGATAATACTACATCCAAGGCAAAGTTTGATCCATCTATTTCTATAAAAAAATACCTTGGATAAATTGACACAATATAAGATTAGTGCACAAGTAAATTCTTTTTTTGAAGCATCAAACCATGCTTTGGATTCTTTACTCCACTCAAGTTTGTTTTTACAAATCAAACATGTAAGTGAAGCTGCAACTTAAGAATTTTTTTAATAAAGATATGATAGTAATTGACAAAGCCTAAAAAACATTACACATTTCTTATTATTCTTGGAATCTCCCAATCCATGATAGTCTGGACCTTCTTTGGATCCATCATTAGTCCTTTATTGAAAATGATGTATCCTAAATACAATTAGGGCTAGCACTCTTGGCTAGTTCCCATAATTGGTATCACATCTATAATTTAAAATTTGATGATATTTAGTTGATTGGTTGTAATAAGTGTATGTAAAATTTTGTATCAATTTAATAATGCAATTGAGAGATATCTAGGTTTTGATACAAAAGGGTATTAGAAGTTGGTAGTTTGGAGTTGGGTAGGATTTCTATAATATCTAAAGATCTACTAATTGGATCAAGATGAAATTTTTCATAGTATTGGAAGACTTCAATATCAAGCTACACACTGATTTTGAATTGAAGTTTACTATTGAAGAAGGAGAAATTGCTACTAGAACATTTGCATCAACTTTCAAGTTGGCGGCCAAGTGACATCAATACAGTTTTTGGACTTTTTTTCACAATTTGTAAGTTGAATTGGGTTGAATTTTTTTGAGTATAAAGAAGAATTATAGTAACATTTTGTACCAAGTAGACAATCAAATTAGGAGTTAGGGCTTATAAAGATAAATCAAAATTATCTAACTATAAAAATAATAAGACAATTGGAGTTTATATATGATTGAGGTTAATAAAAATAGTCTTTTTGAGCACTTTATACTGATTTTAAGTACTTTTTAATTAAAATTCGAATTGCATTCTTCTTATATAGATAAAACCTATTAAGGTTTCCTAAATATTTATAAAACATAACTTCACCTTACATAGCCAAGTGCTTGATTCAGTTCCAAACAAGACAGCATATAATACAATAGTCGTGCATTCTCAAATAAGAAATTATGTAATACAACAACATGTTATTGTATTACATGAAATTTGCTTAAGAATTTACTAAATACTTGGCTGTAGAAGAAAAAATAGAACTTGCAATAAGTTGATCATAATAATTATAATAGAATCCTAAACAAAATTCAATCAAATTATAAAAATTCTAATCAATTTTTAATTAAATCCAAAAGAAGTCTCAAGAACTTATAAAAAAAAACATAAAGAAATCATAAATTCATGTTAACAAAATAAATATAATAAAAAAATCTTAAATAAGTATTAAAATTAAAAATCTTAATTGAATCTTAATTAAATTTTAATATAACTTTCATTAAATCCTAATGAAATCCTAAACCAATTTAAATCAAACCTTAATAAAATCCTAAATCCTAAAAAAATCCTAAGTAAATTCTAAATCTCAATTTTAGACCAAATCTTAATCAAACTCTAAGTCCTAATTATAGATCAAATTCCAATAAAACCATAAATCCTGATCAAATCCTATCAAATCTTAAAAAAATCCAAATCAAATTCTAAAAAACTCCTAAATCTTAATCTTAAAGCAAATCCTAATGAAATCTTAAATCTTAAATAATTCTCAGAAAATTCCAAGTAAATTTTCATTAATTATTATAATTATTTGAATCCTCAATAAATATCAATTAAATTATAGATCTTGAATATAATTTTGTCCAAATTTCAAATAATAAGTATTTAACAAGCATACAAAATTTGAGAAAAAATAGACTTATCAATTGCAAGAAAAGCTTCTAAAACCTTTTGGTCATTGGCCACCCTCCCTCTTTAACTTGAATGTTGATCTTTCAACACCAATTTTTTATTTTCAAACTATATAATTTCTCTAAAAATTAGATTAAATATAAATATTTAAGTTTTAATTGCTTTCACCAAATTTTACTTCAATCCAACTAGCAGATGTTACTAGATCTTTGAATCAATCACTAATTCTAAATTTCAAATATCCAAGACCATTATCTATAAAAACCCTCATATATTTCAATCTAATTGCTCGATTGATCTCAAATTTTTCACACATATTTATAAAAAGTAAAAAAACAAATTATCCAATTTTTACTTATAAATATGCTACAAAATTCACAAAATCCTAAAATTTGTAAACTTATTTTTATTTCTTAAAATTCAAATCTATTAAGTACATTATTAATTTTAAAAATCCTCTAAAATCTCAATATTAATCTAAATGACATAAAACCAATACTCAAAAATCTCTTCTCAAGTTTGCTCTCAAACCTTATTTTTCAATTTACAAAAGAACCTTGAAGTTGCTATAGGTGCTCAGTTTTATATTTTAGGATCTGATTTTGATCCTAATTAGCAATTAGTCCTCTCTAGATATCAATTCCTGTATTTTTAGGTAATTTTTATTAAAAATAAATTCTCAACTCTTTCTTATATATGCTTATATCATTTATTTTTTTAATCTATTTTATTTTGCCTTATTTATGGCCCTATAAAGCTAATAGAACATATTTTTATAAAAGGTGATTCTAACACGAATAGATTTTACTACTTGCCTTCATTTATCTATGATTTTTTATCATATATTTTTAATTAATTTCTTCTATAATAAAATATTTTGTTATTTCTTTCACCTAATGGCCATTTATATAGGTGTTGATTTTGAGGGTTTTGGGTGGATAATGACTTTGTAAGAGCTTTGCAAAGTCAATGTTGTTTTTGATGACTTTGATTTTTGGAAAATAAAATAGGATTAACGTTTTGGGCAACTTCAAGAGTTTAATAATACATCTATTAGTGAAATTTTTTAGATTTGTGGGTATGATTGTGCTTGATGTGTGTTGTGAATTTGGATTTGAAATGTTAGATTGAAATGCATGAAGGTTTTTGTGGGTTATAGTCTTGGAATTCAAGGCTTTGAGAACTAGTGAGGTTTTCTTAGATATCTATCGATCTGCTAGTCCAATTGAAGTAAAATTTATTTATAAAGGTAGTAGACTTGATTTTCTATTCATGTATGAAATTTTAAAAAAATTGAATGGTTTGAAAGGGAGATTATGGCACTGGAATTTTATCATTTAGATTTGAGTACGAGGATAGCTAAGACTTGAGCAGATATTAGAGTTGATCTTTCTTTTAGTGAGTTTGATCTTTTTCAAAAAAAAATTGCTTATTGTCAACTTAATTGTTAAGTAGTATGTAAATTTTGAGTTAAAATCATTGGTTCATTATTAGTTATTGAGGTTTAAATTTGCTATAGAAATTTCTTGGGATTGATTAGAGTTTTGTTAAAGATAAGAGTTAGGATTTTGGATTTGATTTAAGGTTTGATTAGGGTTTGGTTCAGGTTAGAATCTATGAAGCTTCTAAAAAGCTTTTCCATAATATATTATCAAATTCATTTACTTCTACCTACTTCTACCTACTTCTACATACTCATATTCTCTTGATAATTATTGGAGTATATATAGATGTTTATGATATAGCATGTGGTTATAAATATTCTTTTAAAAATAAATGAGAAATTAAAAATACTTAAATTTGTACATATCAATATTTGTAGTTTTGTTCTTCATTAAATAAATTAATCAATCAAATTTTTACACAACTTGAAAGCTTAAAATAAAAATATAAAAGATAATTAAAAAAACTAAAAATGGTATTTAAGAAATAATTATTCATTAATAAATAATCCCACATTTTTATAAAAGGAGTCTAGCATTGTTTTATTCATATACACATTATAATCCTATATAATTTATAAATTTAGATAAATTTTAAAACAATAATATACATATATATTATTAAGAAGAGAAAAAATAAGAAAAAAAATAGATAGATACAAGATAGAAAAGAACTTGAATGACTACCATCAAATAATTAGTAAGTTGAGGGTCTTAAATCTAGATTAGAATATAAGACTCTCTCTCTCTCTTTATATATACATACATATATATATATATATATATAAGGAAATGTTAAAATGACCCAAACTTTTATTAAATTGGCCCACTTGTCTAAACTGTCATTACATACTTTGTTCTCCATCCCCGTTCCCTCGTTCCCAACCTCCATCTCCGTTCTCGGCTACTGTTCCGACTCCTCTCCCTATCCCTGTTCCCCATCCTAAGTAATTCTCATATAGAGAAATGAGAGCACAGAGGAGGCCCTGAATTGAAGAGTACCTTGTGCAAGGGCTCTAAGAAATCGAAAGCAGTACAGGCTTCAAGAAGGCGACTATCCATTGTTCGAGCAGGTGGATGTCCGTTCGGCTTCAAGAGCACCATGGAGAAAGGAGCACAACGGGAATCTTCGATGGAAACTAACGTAGCTGCGACAGCAAGCCCTCTCGTAATCACACCACACGCTCCAGTTCCATCTGCTGCTGATGCCCCAGACGAAGTGAACCTCGGACCCGGTACGACTTCGTAGCCCTCATTTTTCATCTGTGGATTGCAAAAGTTCGATTGGGTTCCAAATTTGCTTGATCTATGTCAAGACGTGATTAGATCTTGTGCTGACAATTTGCTCCTTGGTATGGATATATTGAAAATCCATGAATTGATTTTCATATTATTCACGTATTGTGAAATATTTGATGTCTATATATTTTGTTTGTCAATGGTATTTTGGATTCTTTATGAGAGCAATCACAGCTTGGTTGTCAGAGTATATAGATGTTGGTAGTTCTTGCTCTGTATTGAGAGATTTCAATAGGCTGCATAATCAGGTTGTTTCTTTAATAGATTCTATAAGTGCAATTAGTTCAGCTATTGTCATTGTTAGACATCATTAGACATCCTTGCTTGTGGTTTCCCTATGCAATGGCAATAGACCCTCGGATCGCTCCATCACAACTTGTGTCTCTGCAGTTTGTTTGTGGAAAAGGGTTCCGCAGAGCATCAACAGTGAATGAACCACCAGTATTACCAACACGGAGATGTCGATCAAGAGCGTTTCAGTTCATGATTCCGTGGGACGGCTAGCGCATTCCCGAAGATATTTGAGAGCAATGTCATTGAAGCATGCCATAGTCTTGTACCTGGTGATGGATGTTGGATGAACATCCAAACACATTATACTCGAAGATCCATTCGTCCTCAGTATACAAGTTCATGTTCGATGGATCCATAGTGTGGCGATAAGTGTTAGACAATCAGAGAGTGTAAGTTGATTAGAGAGAGAATACGAAAAGTGTTGAGCTTTGATGTCACTAAAGGAGTTTACAATGGAATAAAGAAAGTGTTTAATACCTTATTCTGAGTGTTTGATCATAGAGAGAGTAGAATTCCTTTAGGTTACGGGCCCACCCTTGAGTGTACTCTGCTCAGACTTCTAGAAATTGATATTTACCTTATTTTTCTACTTCGAACAATCAAGAACATTGCAAACAGACTCAAGGCGATTAAGTACTCATTAGTGCATTCTTCATCGACCTTGAGCTTCTAGCAATCTTATTTTGCAGCATGTCGTTCATAGATCATCCGATGTCTTGATTGTAGTTGTCGATCGAGGCGAAGAGTTATATATATATATATATATATATATATATGTATATAATGAAATTTTACATTTATGAGCATAGGATTCTTATAATTTTTTAATAACGAATTCAAAGGTTCTAAGTTCTAATCTTTGTAATCTTTGATCTGCATTTTTGTTTTTGTTGAATTCTTATTTCTTGTTTTCTTCATTTCTCATTTTCTTATCATCTTGAATTCTTGCTACTCTTGATTTTTATATTCTAATATCTTCTACTTTTCAAAATATTCTAATATCTTCTAATTCATTTTTTCTTTACTATTCTTTACTTTAGTATTTTTGTCATAGATAAACATGACAAAATACCTATTAAAATGTTTAATGGAACTCATTTTTCAATCTAGAAATACCACATGGATATTATTTTCAAGCAAAGAGGTTTTACAAGTTGTTATTGGACAAGAAAAAAAACTTATTATTGATACAATTTATGCCTCTCCCAATAATCAAGAACTTCTTGATACTTGGGACAAGAAAAACATAATTGCTTGTATATTTTTCAGCAAGTCTATTTCACAAAGAAAACTAAAAAATACTCACTAGTTGCTCAATTGAGGCTAAATGTGGCACAAACTATGTTTCATTTATTCAAACAAAAATCAAAAAAGCATATTTACTCTTTAAGGCAAGTTCTTCAAATATCAAATGCAACCTATTAACATATCATCTCATATATAAAATATAACTGAGATAACAACCATTCTTGTAGATCTTAGGCATTCTATTCCAAATAAAATGATAATTTTAAAGAATATATATAGCCTACTACTTAGTTACAATACTATTATAGCCACATAGTCAAATGTACCTAAAATTTCTCAAATTATAGACAACCTTGAGGAATAACTTCTATATCATGAAAATTTATTCTATTGCCAAGATGGAATCAATATTGAAATAGATCATATTTTCTTCATAAGAATAGCAATCATATCTTTTAGATTTCTTAATAAAAGAGAATAATGACATAAAGATATAAATTACATCTGAGATCTTAAGACATGAACAAAGTATTATAATTGTCATAATATTAACCATTGGTTGGTTAATTGTCCTTAACAAAAAAAAAAAATGACCTCAAAGTAAAGATCCTTGTAAAATAGATGGTGGTATTAGTGAGGGCTAATTTGGATGAAAATTTATAATCATCTAATACTTCTAAAGAAGAACCCAATTTGAGTTTTGATTGTGATTTTATGTTTTTTATTATGGCAACTATTTTTAGTCAAGTATTAGTAACTGACTCATGTCAAGATACATGGTTTGCCAATAGTGGCACAAATGAACATATAATAGACTACTTTGAATGATTCATCTCAGTTCAACAGATTCTAGAAGAGATTCACATGATCTAGATTGATGATGATACTAAGCTCTGGATGTATGGCAGAGGTGACATTTGAATTAATTCTTTCATTAATAAAAAGTATTATAAGGAGATTACCAAAAATATATTATATATAATATGCTTAAAGTATAATTTATTTTTAATTGGACTTGTTTCAAAATAAAATTTATCCTTTATTACATTCCTTAGCAAATATGAATTTTGAACTCTTGAAGGCAAAAAGGTTTTGGAGGGCATTGGCTTACAAAAACTCTATTAACTATCTATTCAAATAATATCTCCAACTACTCCTCTTCTTTTATATGAAACCACCTCACTCTCTCATGAAATTGCATCTCATGATTCTATACATCATGATTTTTTTGTTTCACAAAGCCTTCTTTTTATTCCACAAGATTTCTATCTTATCTCATGTGTATACTTTGCCTTCTCTTCTCCCTTCCATTGATTTTGATTCAACATTTACAATTATATCATCTTCACACAAACATAATATACAACTATGGCATGTGCATATGAACTACACCAATATCCCAATTATTCAAAAGATGAACAAAAGACAAAGCTTATTAGATTTCAAATTACTCAATACAAAAACATTGACACATCTTTGTTTAGGATGCATAATGGAAAAACAACATAAATTGATTTATCTACATGATCCAACCATCCAATATTTTACTATCCTCGGTGAATTCATTCATAAAGACATCCTAAATAAACAACATCAAATCTTATTTTTCAAAGGCTCTATATGTTATATATTCTATAAAGATGATATAACAACATATTCTTTTGTATATTTCACAAAGTAAAAAAAAAAGAAGCATTTTTATTTTTCTAACAAGTTGTAAACTTCATCAAGCAAGACACAAGATAGAAAATGTGGGCCTTATGCACAGATCAAGGCCCCAAATTTTGCAACAAAATTTTTGATCATTATTTAGAAAAAAATGAGATTATATAACAAATCAGCATAATATATACTCCACAAAAAAGTAGATATATTGAACAAGATAATTGAACCATATTTGAAATGCCTTGATGCATGCTTCATGGAAAATCTCTTTAAAAAAACTCTAAGTAGAGGCTATTAACATTGCAGTTTATATTCTAAATTGCACCATTAGTAATCAACTTAATGATATAACATCATACAAACTATGGTTTTGTGAAAAGCCATTAGTACAAAATTACTATGTATTTGGCTCTTTCTCATGGATCTATATCAATAAGCCATTCTAAACAAAACTTAATTCTAAAAGCATGTACATATATTTTATTAGTTATTCTATCAACAACCAAGCTTATAGATTTTGAAATCCTATTATAAATTTTATCATCAAAAGTATAGATTATAAGATTAATAAAACTTTTGGCCATTACAACTTTGATTTATAATATGATCTAGGCAATGATCTAGTCAATGTCCTAATATTGCTCTTGACATCTATACCTACCTCTTTTCAACAACTTCTTTGAAATTCAATAAATGCACCAACATTGCATATAAGTGATCACTTAATTTTTGAGTCTATATCCAATAATGACAACTTACAAACAAACCATGTATTTGATGTCACTCCAAATGATGTAGAACATAACTATTTAAGTGTAGAAGATGCTTTGATCCTAAAAAAAAAAAATTGAGAATATCAACCTACAAAGAATTACTTTTCAGCAATACATAATGGCACATCACAATTTATTAATCCAAAGAGAGATATTACTCCAATAGTGGAAGACACTACCTTAACTGCAGGAGATTTCTCTCTTGATATTACTTGACATGATTTACAATATATACTAGTATTTACTCACTCACCAACTGAATAAGATTCATCTTTGGATGGATAACTTTACTCTAGATTCAAATCTATTTAAGAACTTCTAATCAATACATCAAAAGTCATTCAATAATAACTTCTTTTTTTCTAAATCTTCTAAAGTTGAAGATTCTTTGTCATCTATAATTTCAGATTTTCTATATTCATAATCAATATTATATTCAAAAGCATTACTAGCATCTATTGGTGAATCCATTTAGGAACCTTAATTGTATAAAAAAGCCCTATTATCTTTTGATTCAAAATTATAAAAAAAAAGACATGAATTGTGAATATACTTCACTTATAAAAAAAAATACATGAAAATTAGTTCAAAGGCCACTTCATCAAAAATTGATTCAAAATAAATGGATTTACAAGGTCAAATATAAGCCAAGTGGTGACATTGAAAAATTCAAGGCATGGTTAATTGCCAAGGAATTCACGCAAAAACTAGGAATTTATTTCATTGACACTTACTTTCTAATGATCTCTTATGATTTAATGTGTGCCATCTTTGCACTTATTACTATAAAGAACATGCACATAAAATAGTTTGATATTGGAACAATATTTTTGAATGAAGTTTTAAGAAAAGAGATTTATATAGTATAACCTCAAGGTTATGAAGACTCACAAAATCCAATGTACTATTGCCAATTAAAAAAAAGAATACATAGATTGTGTCAATTTCCTAAATAATGGAACATAAGAATCTCAAATTTTTTCAAATAATTTTTATTAATCGCAAGTGAGGCAAATTCATGTGTATATTGCAATTATAGCAATCTTCATGCTATCATTGGTATATATGTTGATAAAAATATCATTGCATCTTTGATTTTTTCATTTATTATAGATATTTTATAATATTTATAATCAAATTTCAAAGTGACTAGTGAACCAATAGATTATTTTGTTGGATTTCAAATCCAACAATGTAAAATTATAAGATCTATCATTTTTTTTTATTAAAAAAGATATATAAATGATGTTCTCTTATGCTTTGGTCTCCATGAAGCCTATGAAGTTTCTACTCTAGCTAATACTTATATAAAACTCTAAAAAAATACAAATTTACATGACCCTCAAGTTTCCATTCTTTATCAATAAGGAGTTAGTTGCTTCATGTATGTAATGCTTATCACATGCCTCAACATTGGCTATACTATCAATAAAGTCTTTTTTTTTTCAAGAATCATTATGACGAAGTCATTAGACTCCAGTTAAATGTATTATGCAATATTTAAAACAAACATGTAATTATGGTTTATATTATAATGCTCAACCTTAGCTACCTCACCTTGTTCGCTATACAGACATTGATTTTAGTAGAGAACTTGATAATTGTAAGAGTAGCACTTGCTTTGTGTATACATTGGAATCTATTGCCATTGCATAGGGAAACCACAAGCAAGGATGTCTAATGATGTCTAACAATGACAATAGCTGAACTAATTGCACTTATAGAATCTATTAAAGAAACAACCTGATTATGCAGCCTATTGAAATCTCTCAATACAGAGCAAGAACTACCAACA